AATAGCAAAGAAATGTAATAAAAGCAGATCTCCTGGTCTTGCTTCTGCTTTTAAAAGCCACTCACTGATGTCCTTCACCAGGCCAAGAGAGTTCTTCTACAGTCCAATTTTGCTGAGGAGCGGTGTGGTGATTGGACACTGAATGTTTCCCAGACTCCATTTCTGCACTTCTTGTGATCATGTGACTGTCTTCTGAGGTCTGATCATTGGTTATATGTGTGCAGTAAGAGGAATGAGATTCTCTCTGGTTACTGCATTCCTTGCATTTTATAGCTTTTACATTGTGTTGACTTTCCCTGCCCAGGCTTGCTGTAGCAAAGCACTATATACTGGGTGAGTTGGGATTGGGAAATCAAGGTCAAGGCAGATTCCATGCCTGGAGAGGTCCATTTTCTGGCTCATACACAGATGTCTTTTTAGCATGATGTTGACAGAACAGACAAGAAAGCTTCTGGTGCCTCTTTCATGGGATATGAATCCCATACATAGTGTGACATTCATAAGGATACTTTCATGACTTTGTCACCTCCCAAATGCTCCACTTCCAAAATGATAGCACATTGGGAACTAAATTTCAAAATAAGAATTGCCAGACAATGGTGACTCATGCCTTTGATCCCAGCACTTGGGAGTTAGAGGGCAGCCTGGTCCACAAATAGAGTTCTAGGATAGTCAGGGCTATGCAGAGAAACCCTTTCTTGAAAAACCAAACAACAACAAATAATAATAATAAAGAATTTTAGAGCCGGCAAGGTGGTCAGCAGGTAAAAGCACCTGCTGCCAAGCTTGAGAATCTGAGTTCAATCCCCATAGCCCACAAGTGGAAGGAACACAGCAACTCAAGCCAGTTGTCCTCTGACCTGAGTCAGAGGACAGAGTATGCTGTGTGTGCCACCCCCATAATAAATAAATATAGTAAAATAGGATGTTAAAGGCACATCAACATTCAATTTAAGCTGGGCATAATGGCACAGTCTTTTAATCCCAGCACTGGGAAGGCAGAGGCAGGCAGATCTTTCTGTGAGTTCAAGGCCAGCCTGGTCTACATAGGGAGTTCCAGCTACATAATGAAGCCCTGTCTCAAAAAAAAAACCAAAGAAAAACAAAACGTCTAATCTCCATCAGTTGTCTTACTTAGTTCAATATATTTTCTTTGTCTTGTAGATTAATCTTGGTTCTATATATAATTCAAAGATGGCTTTCTTAATTTTCAAACATTGAGATATTTTCTTCTTTCTTTCCTATTGATTGATTGGGTGGGTGTCTCTCTCTTTTGACTTGACTGTCATGAAACTTGCTGTGTACACCAGGCTGGCCTTGAGCTCACAGAGACCTGCCTGCCGCTGCCTCCCAACATTTATGACTGTTGCTATAGTTAGGTTTACATATGCCATCTAGATGGATTCTTTTTGTCCAGTCTGCCCTTTGCTTTTCTGCATCTCCTTTCTGCTCTTTAGATTAATTTTTAGTCTTTAGTATTTCATTTACTTTCTTTTGTGTATTTTTTTCTCTTGAGCTATTTTTCTTTGTAGAGTGTGTTTTAGTTTCTTTCCTTCCTTCCTTCCTTCCTTCCTTCCTTCCTTCCTTCCTTCCTTCCTCCCTCCCTCCCTCCCTCCCTCCCTTCCTTCCATTCATCTACATTTCACTGAAGAGCTCTTTTTAATAGCCATTAGCCATTAGTTATATATGATGTCTTAGGGTTTCTATTGCTGTGAAGAGACACCAGGACCACAGCAACTCTTATATTTAATTGAGATGGCAGCTTACAGTTTCAGAGGATTAGTCCATTATCTCCATGGTGGAGAGCATGGTGGCATGCAGGCAAACATGGTACTGGCTATATCTTGCTCAGAATGCAACAGGAAATGGACTGAGGTACTGGATATGGTGTGGGCATATATAAGTCCTCAAAGCCCACCCCCACAGTGACACACTTCCTCCAACATGGTCATATCTACTCCAACAAAGCCACACCTCCTAATAGTACCACTCATTATGTATGAGTTTATGGGGCCAATTACATTCAAGCTACCACATAGGGCTATTTAAATAGAAATTAATCGAAAGAGAAGATAAAAAATGTATGCTTCAGTTTACTATGTACATTGTGTGCATTTAGGACTAGGGACAGGTAAACAAATTAGGGCATTATTTTAGAAACACTGACAAGGTTTTGTAAGATATCAATAACAAAGTGTAAGATAAGTGATAGTATTGAAACATGCCAAATGGGGGTAAAATCAGCAAGGGCAACTAACAAATGAAATGTCAGATGTGAGGGAAAGTAGTGAATCAAGTGACCGGGAGTTCAGACTTGAGCCAGTGATGGTGCCCATAGCGGAGGGTCATAGTTTTAGCTTTAGCTGTCAACTTAACACAAGCTAGAGTCACCTGGGAAAAAGGGAACAGCAATTGAGGAATTGTCTATATGAGATTGTCCCACAGGCATGACTGGGCACATTTTCTTGATTGCTAATTGATGTAGGAGAGCCCAGCCTACTGTGGGTGGTGCAATGACTTAGGCAAGTGGGCCTGGACTGTATAAAAAAAGGTAGGTAGCCAAAGCAAGCCAGTAAGCACCATTCCTCCATGGTTTCTGCTGCAAACTGCTGAATTGCCATCCCTAGATGATGGACTGAAATATACGGTGAAATAAACCTTCTCCTTCCCAGGTTGCCTTTGTCATGGTGTTTATCCCAGCAACAGACAACAAACTCAGACATGGAGTCAGAGACTACTGGAAGGATGTCAAGTTTCGGGAAAGATGGAGAATTTAGTTTTAGAAACTCCAAGAAAATCATGTAGGTCAGGATTGTTTGTTTTCCTGGGCTCTCTCTTTAGCTCAGGCTAACCCCAAACTTGCAGCACTCCTCCTGCCTTACCCTCTCAGATTACTAGGACTACAGGTGTGGGCTGCCCTGCCCAGCTCACATATCAGGCTTTTAGTTTAATGTTGCTCAAGTTAAAGGTATATAAAATCACCATGGCAGTATACAGAGTCAGAATATAAAACTCTGACCCATATATGAAAGAGGAACATACTCCAGGCAGTGGTTCTCAACCTTCCTAACACTGCAACTCTTTAATACAGTTCCCCCAACCCTAAAATTACTTTGTTGCTACTTCATAACCATAATTTTTCTACTGTTATGAATTATAATATAAATATCTGACATTTGGGATATCTGATATGTGACCCCTGTGGAAGGGTTATTTGACCCCCAAAGGGGTCACAACTCACAGGTTGAGAACCATTTGTCTAGGTGAAGCTCATGACTAATGGAAAGAAACCCCAAGAGGGCAAGAGGGTTGTCACTGAACACAGGTGAGCATTATGAATGAAATGTTAAATAACAGAAGATGATTTTTCTTAGGCAGTTGTTACATATAGATAACTGACAAACTTGGCTTAAATCCACTTACTTTTTTAAAGAAACAGCAAATGTCTTAATTAATTATTGAATGCTTTCATCTTAGGCTCCATTCATCTGTTACCTTTATGACTTTCATCTACTTTATCCCAGTGTGTGCTCAGTGCTCTTCCAGGGATGAGAGATGCAGGGATAAATAGAAGTTTGTCATGTTCATTCTGGAATTGAGAGACTCACAATTAGAATAGCTTGCTATAGGCTGTAGAAAAGGAGAGCCCTATGCTGTGCAGGAGTCTGTGCCTTTCTGATGCTGTTTTTATTGCATGGATTGCTTTTTTTCTGCCTCATTACAATATGACCTTCCACAGTAACCTGAACTACTCAGAATTCTGGAGACTTCGACCTTTTCCTTTGTATTTCTTCATGCTTTAAGAAAAATGGTGACTCATATCAAACAGTTCTTCTCTAACTTAGCCTTAAAAAGAGAGAAGCAGGAGAAAACACTCAATTGCAGAAATAATCTATGTTCAACCTTAGTGTGAGCAATACAGGAAACCATGAGGAAGAACACAGTCACAAAAGATCCAACCATCTAGCAGCCGTTATCATTAGCATTCATTTTCCACCATTGCATGTATCCCTATAGGCATGCAGATATCAAAGGATAGATGGAAATAATTTCATGTAATTAAGATTATAATATATATGCTATTGTAAATGTCATTTAAAGTACATTTAAATGTGCTTAATTTCACCTTTTAAAGATTAGCATAAAAAAGAACTTTATAGAAAGGATCTTTAAAGAGGCAGTAATTACTAAGTGGTAAGAATTACTAAATGCTCACAAAAATGACATAAAACATTGAGGTTTTAATGATTTTAAAAAGCTATGTTTCTATATATTTAACTCTTCCAGCTTACTGTGACTTGTAATAAAAACAAGCCTGCCTCTATTGTGGGGTTGAAGATCATCTTATAATAAAAACAAACTAGATTCTTTCCTGTTTATAATTAAAATCTGTTTCTCAAGGATTGAGCTACACCCCACCTGTAACTTTAACAGTTTAATGGTTCTGTTTGGTTGGTTGGTTGGTTGGATTTTCCAAGACAGGGTTTCTCTGTATTGCTTTGAAGGTTGTCTCGCTCTGTTGATCAGGCTGGCCTCAAACTCACAGAGATCCGCCTGCCTCTGCCTCCCGAGTGCTGGGATTAAAGGCGTGCACCACCAACGCTCAGCCTACAAGTGTTCTGTACTGCCTGCTCCAGGAAACAACAACTGTGCCTTTGTTTCAAAATGTGGTGACTACCTTACTAAGATCACTTTGTAGTGACTACCTTTTTATGAGCACTGTGTCATGACTACCTTGTTATGACAACCTTGCAATTATGTCTTTGTTTCAGGTTGTTATGATCAACTTGTTATGTTTATGTTCTGCTTCTGTAACCCTGCCTATTTGCCTGCCAAATCCCCCACTGGAAACCCCCGCTCCTGAGCTATAAAACCCTTATCTTCCCTATGCTGATCTCCTGAACCCCACCTGTGAACTGGAGAGATATGAGCTGGGGAGCTGTGGACTGGGGAGCTGTGAACTGGGCAGAATTCACCAAAGGTCCTTGCTTCCATTGCAGAGATCATTGACGACCTTGCCAACCTTGTGGAGAACACCGATGAGAAGCTTCGCACTGAAGCTAGGCGGGTGACCCTGGTGGACAGAAAGTCAACTTCTTGTGGTAAGAGATGGCGGTCACCCCAGCTGCCTGGGTCCTGCTCTTCTTTTCGTGCTCCATGCTGCTTCTACTTACCATGAAGAGGTGACTGCCCTTCTAATGCAGCAGCCCCAGCTGATGAAGCATCAAAATTGCTAAAAGATGCTTAAGTCTTGTTTAGACAATATATATTGCTAAGATTCGAAGGGTATTAACAGTTGTTCTTTTAAACTCTTAGTTGGGAATCTTACCTGTTTTATAAAAATGAATGGTTTGGGATGTTACCTAACAGTATGCAGTTTGGTGGTGAGTCTACTGTGTTTTCAAGGCAGTTTTGTTTCCTTTTGTGTCCTGCCTTCCTTAAACCATAAGCTTAATTAGTGAACTCACTGTAGAACAGCTAAGAACGGCTTCTGTCTCTCAGTATGACCAAGATAAAAAAAATCCAGGGTCCGGCAATGCCATCTTTACTGAGTCACTTTGGCTCTTGATGCTTGAAAACTAGGGATTCGGGTGTTGATATAAGAGTCCGATAGAGGACTTTGAATGCTGATTTCCAGGCCTCCAGTCAGAGGCTCCCACTTGAGGAGGTCTAGGGTAGGGTTCAAGAGTACTCATTCAGTTTCCCCTGAGCCCTGCATTTATCTCACTCCTGCAGCACCTTGATCCAAGGTGACAAGGAGGCCCAGTGTTAGTTATCACCTCATTTTTATTCGGTGCCTCATCTCATAAAGGTGAAGCAGATCCATGAAGCTAATGAAAGAAGCATAGTGACAGTCTAGTGACCTGGACACTGGCTTGACCTGACATTTGGATTTTTTCATGTGAAAAATAGAGCAACATCCCTATCCCTGTACAGATAATTCTGACAAGGTTGTCTGCCTCTTTTACAAAGAAACTGAGGCTTAGCAAATTTAGATTTATGCAAGAATCAAACCATAAGAGGTGGGAGGTGGGAAGGAGCCCACATGTTTTATCTTCAGCGTTTCAGGTTCTAGGTATGAAGGACAAAGTCCTTGTGGCCGGAAGTTTCATAAGAGTGGTAAGGCAGTCTCTCATGGTCGTGCAAGGGTTTTTTTTTTTTTTTTAAATGATTTTAAATCTTTTTAAAAAGATTTTATTCATTTATTATGTATATAGTCTTCTGCCTGCATACCAGCAGAGGGCACCAGATCTCATAACGGATGGTTGTGAGCCACCATATGGTTGCTGGGAATTGAACTCAGGACCTCTGGAAGAACAGTGCTCTTAACCACTGAGCCATCTCTCCAGCCCAGGTGGTGGTGCACGCTTTTAATCCCAGCACTTGAACGGCAGGAAGGCAGAGGTAGGCAGATCTCTGTGAGTTCGAGGCCAGTCTGATCTACAAAGTGAGTTCTAGGACAACTAGGGCTGTTAACACAGAGAAATCCTGTCTAGAACCACCCGCCCCACCCCTAGAAGAGAGTGGTAAGCAGAGGGAACACTTTGCTGTGTCAGGAAGCAGAAGGAAGTCACACTGCAGGTGAAGCTACCAGGCTGGTGTGCAGCAAGTGAGTGAGAGTGAATGGGCCAGCAGGTCACAGGTCCTAATGCACAGCAGGTCCCACAAGGCTCCACTTCCTCTGCGGCTTGGGAGTCTGCATCTGCCTGACCTCTCGCCTGTTGCTCCCTTCTCTGGAAATTTGGTGTAAGCCGTCATGACCTCATGGCCTTTGCATTTCACATACCCCCTCAGCACCTCATGGATGCCATTGCCAAGAAACGCTGACAGCTTGAGATGTGGCATGATGCCTCTTGGGCCACTGCTGGGTAGTCTCTATGTTTTTTTGCGGCTGAGTTTGAGAAAGTACTTCTCTAGGCAGTTTGGTTTGATTATTTTGAGCAGGGAGTCCCTTTAGTGAACTTTGATTTCAGCCTTTCTCTTTTTCAAATGCTTTCTAGTTTCCTTTGCTGGTGCCTTGGTGGGTAAGGTGTTACCCTCAGGGTATTTTTCCTCTTGTTCCAGTACAGTAAATTATGAGTTGTTTGAAATAGAGTGTCATGTGGCCCTGGTTGGACCTCCTGTCTCCATCTCTCAAGTGCTGGGACTACGGGTGTATACCACCATGCCTCAATGCCATGTGTTGCTGGGTATTAAACTCGGGGCTTTGTGTGTGCTAGGCCAGTGTTCTGCCAATTGAGCTACATCCCTAAACCAACTAGGTCTTTCTAATAGTTAAAGAGATTGCTTTACCTATACCACCTTATTTGAACTTTAAACTGGCCCAGACCTGTTTCCTTGCCAAGTTGTATAGTTCCACATTGTTCTGCTCACTGTAAATTTGACTACAAACAGTGAGGAATAGCCATGCCACTTTCTGGATGTCAATAACTCTGCTATACAATGTATTCCTTTTTTAAAAAAAAATTCATCCTCACTCAAATTCTAGGAAACAGGCAACTGAAGCCAGATTCATTACCAGAATCTGACAGAAATTACCTGTAGGGCAAGTCTCAATAGGGCCCCCTGCAGCCTCATGAGCCCTACCTTCTCTGTCCATATTTCTGTCAGCCTTCTACCCACCCAGACTTCTACCAGAGCAGCTCATTGTGCTTTGCTTGCAGCATCCCAGAGCTTCTTTAGCTGGCAGCTTCAAACTCTTCCACATTCTTGTCACAAACCAGTCTGCAGGCCTAGGAACGAACCACTTGGTCAGGCATGTCACAGCCCCAGCCTTACTTCCCAGCACTTTGTGTTTGGGTTACTTTCCTCACCACTGCAATCTCACACCTGACAAGAAGCAATTTAGGGGTGGAAGGGTATATTTTCGCTCGTGGCAGTGGGAACAGTCCATGGGACTGTGTGTGTGTGTGGAAGGGGGGGGTCATGGTGGGAGTAGCTTGTATTTGGTGGCAGGAGCATGAGGCTGCTTGCTCACACCTGGACAGAACAGGGGGGATGGGGGAGCAGAAAAAGCTGATCTCTGAGTGCACACAGGTGCTCGATCACCTTTTCCCCCAATTTAAACCCCAAGAATGAAGAATACCAGTGTTTATCTCTCTCTGCCTACTCATCTGCTGCTGGCCAGGAGCTATTCCTGTCACCATGCCTTCCCCACTGTCGTGGACATTATCTCCTGAAGCATGCACCAAATAAACCTTTCTTTCCTTGAGTTACTTCTTGTCTGGTTTAGTCACAGCAGTGAGAAAGGAACTCAGAAGCCACCTGGGAGGAGCTTATTTATCCCAGGGGATGAGGTAACATACATGAAAACCACAGATGAGCAGGAACTAGCAATGGACCATGAAATCAATCTGCAATAGACCTACCTGTCTGTACCATTAGGATGATCAGGCATGGTTTATTTAATTTTTTTTTTTTTTACATTGTGTGCGTGTGCGTGCGTGTGTGTGTGTGTGTGTGTGTGTGGTGGGTGGGTGGATGCATGTGTGAAGATCTGAGGACAACTTGTGGGAGTAGACTCACTCCCTCTACCACATGGGAGTAGACTCACTCCCTCTACCACATGGGTCCTGGGAATGGAACTCAGGTCCATTTGGTAGGCTTGGTAGTGGGTTCCTTTACCCACTGAGGCATCACACTGGCCCCCCAATTTTGCATTTTTTAAAAATATGTTATTTTATGTGTATGAGTTTTGCCTGAATGTATGTATGTATACCATATGCATGTCTGGTGCCATGAAGGTCAGAAGAAGGCATCAGATCCTCTGGGACCAGAGTTGCAGATAGTTGTAAGTCATCATATGGGTGCTAGAAACCAAACCCTGGTCCTCTTCAAGAACAGCAAGCCCTCTTAACCACTGAGCCTTCTCTCTAGCCCCTCACTTTTGCTTTTTAAATTAAAAGGCTTGAAAGGATCTAAAGAGAACAGGAAACTATAAAAAGTAACATAAGTTATTTGAAAGGGTACCAAGCAGAACTTATATAAATTAAAAATAAATAAAACTAAAAGTAAGTATACATTTTTGGTACCAGCAAAAGAGAATCAACCAGAAGACAAACCAAGTGAAACAAACAAAACCCAACTATATTCTGTTTTCATAAGTACTCGTATCAAATGCCGTGGAAATTAATTTTCAGCCTCGGTAATGATGGCTTTTGAGGAACAAAGGGACAGTCCAGAAGCCCCAGAAACAGCAAAGAATGAATCGCTCACTCTTCCCAGATGCAAGGCTGAGTTTCCTGTGTAAATATGGGCGCATGCACGCAGGCAAGGTGTGTAGGGCTTGGGAATTAATCTAATCAGCTCCCTCAAGTGTCACTTGATTGCGGTTCACATGGCCCTCTCAGACTGTGTAACTAAGAAGACCCGAGCGAGGTGTGGAGAGCAGCCGGCCTATCATCTTTTTTGCTCAAAGGAGAGCCAAAGTAGGCTATAAAGCATGAAATGGCTTTTTGTTTCCCTGGTGTGTACGTATCTCCCATGCCAGCCTGACATATCAGTCATAGATGCTTGAGCAGGGGCGAAATTCTAGTTATAAATACAGACCAAATCACAAGGGGCCACACAGGAGAAGGGCCTGGTGATGAATTTGTTTGTTCAGTTGCTAACAAAGGATTCAAGCATTTCTTTGTGGACCTTTCACTCCAGAGCCTGTGCTTGAAAATTTTTCCTGAGATCTTTGTGTGTGTGTTTTTTTCCTCCCTTTTCTTTTCCCAGCCTTGCCCTCGTGATAACATCAAGTAGGAAATAATGCTGTTTTTTCCTAGATTGTAAAGGCAAATTAGACTGATAGGTTTCCCTGGCTCCTCCATATATTTTCAGATCTGTTTCTTGTATTAGGGGCATTTACATAAAAGTGGGATCTTTGTAATTGCAGTTTAAATATTCAGTGTGGCTGATCCTCATTAGAATTCAAAATAGAACCTTGTCTGAGACTGAGGAGAGAGCCAATTGTGAAAGCCCAGACTAGGAATTCTCAATGACTGGAGACTTGCTTCTCAGCATATTGACTATTACGTAATGTTGTCTAAGCACGTCCATTGTGATTTTAGTGTTCCTGTGATGCTGTTGAAAAATCAGTCCTGCTGACCTTGTAGAG